ACTTTTCCTGCTGTTTTCTAAGTCCACAGGACACTCTCCTAGGTCATCACCAAGCTGAAATTAATAGCAGCACATTCTTTGACGATAATACAACGTACAACCATAATCACACCACATCCTGGGTWACATTTTTTCAGCCCATAGATGCACCATTTGCTACAAGATTACTCCACGCCAGCTTAGCACTACCCCCATGGGTATCACCTCTCTACTAGAGTGTTCCCATAACTGCATAACAATCACAACTCAGCCATAAAGTCAGTGTGGCCATTTGTGCTTCAGATGCTCAATGACCAGGTCACATCAATGTACACGACTGCTCCCAGGACACTAATCTGTTTCCACCAACATGTCCACAGTTGTGGACTTTCTGGTTTCAAGTAGTTATAATGAGATTGTTGTGAAAAAAACAAGACCAGTGATAATCATTATACCTCAGTTACATTTGCATTTTTTTTTTACTTTAGTGGGTCATAATATACAACTGAGGACACTGCCAACACCATCCACATTTGAGTTTGTAATGCAGTAGCAGCATTGTTATCCTGTGTGAAAGAGATCTAACATCTTGTGCCAGTGTCTAATTTTAGAAATTCCCAATTTCCCTCTAGTGAGATATCCCTCTCAGTGAGATTTTTAGCACTCATAAGCAACCGCTGTGCAAATGTTAATGAATCTGACATATTGCACTGCATCCCTCATGAGAATAAAGCATATCTGAAACGTAATCAGTTGTTTATTACTTCATAGCTTCATGTTTGATGTGCGTACATGGGATTCCACAGAGTTTTCATAAAAAGATGATGTTTAAACCAAATATCAGTCATTCACACCAGCCTTTAAAGTCTGAAATTTTAAGTCACGAAAAGAGAACAAAGCATGTGTGACAAATTTTCTAGAACAACCTACCAGCTGAGAAACCAGTAAAATTGTCCCCAAAAGAGTTTTGATCGACCTAAGATTTAATTCACTTCACTGCACTTTGTTTAACAGCCACTGAAAATAAAGAAATGTGTTCATGAAATGAGTTTCAAAAGCAAATCATTTTGTACAGGTATGTATTGTGTGCAAGAATGAATTTGTAAATATAAATTTGTATCTAATAGGGATGCCCCAAGCTGACTGGATCAGGGTCTCAATCAAGGCATTTCTCATTCAAAAGTATCAAAGTACCTGATCATATGTGACCATACACTCAATACGACTGATGACCTGTTGTCTATGGCTTTACATCAGCCGTGCCACAAAAGGGTTGTCCTTAAACGATGTGATGTCATATATCATATCAAAGTATTTAAAAATATAAAACAAGAGCAGTTCAACTGTCTACATTTGCAATTCAGGTATTTCTTGTGGTCTTAGTGTTAGTGCTGCACACAATATGAACAATTTAAAATTCAAACACTTGGCCAAGTTCACCAAGCCAAAGCTAACACTGCTGCAGTACAGTAGGCAGTACATTTTACAGAAAATTTGAAATTTATGAGAGAAGTTTTCACAGTAAGATATAAGACCGGACCATTACAGAATGGGTGACTGAATTAATCACTTTGAATTGTCAACTTATCTTGGAGAAAATAGTTTATATTTCTAGTTGTGGGCACAGCTAACTGAAACATTAGCTTCACTAATACCTAAACTGCTACACAAACTTCTTAGTTCTGTTAACAATAAAAAGCAAAATAGATAAAAAAAATATGGCAGAAGCCAAAATGCCAATATATATTAACATTTAGTCCACCATATGGCAGCCAAAATAATGTGCTACCACACTTTTAGGGATGGGTATATTTAAGATTTCATTGATACTCTTACTGAACCAGTATTTTACAGTCTTTTTGTTGAAGCTTTTCTATGGGAATAAACCAAAAACAAACTATGAATATGCAATGCTATTATTTTAGAAAAATATAGAACACACAAATAACCCACTTCATTTTTATTTGCACATGTAATTTTAATTTGCATTGCATTAACTGAAGGTTTTAACATTCTATGCAAAAAAGAGGAAGAATATTCTGAAATTTTTCATAAGTCTGAATGTGACAAATCTGATTTATTTTTCAAAATTGACCCAGTATTTTTTAGTATTTAGTACTGAATCTGATACGATGTTTTCCGAAGTGACCTCAATCTGAACCCTTGTGTTACATTTCATCTGACCTACATCAGTGTGGTGGTGGTGGTGAGCAGATCAATATGATAATGACACAAGCCTTGAGTCATGCTGGTTAATTCTTGTAGCTCCACGTCTTCAGCTACAGAACAGAAGTCCAGTTGTTTGATCTTTTTCTTTTAATTTTCCATGTCCTGGATGACTGAGAAGCCGSAGAATAATACAATAGTAAAGTTGAGCGGTTGCAGACTGTATGGATGCTAAAGTTACTCAGTTGATACTTTGGTTGTAGCACGTCTATTCGTTCCATAATAAAATGCTGCATTGAAACATTCTGTCAGAGGCAGGTTCAGATATAAACACTAAACTAAACAAGCATGTCAGATAATTATTTAATCTGCTCTGGTTGAACAACAACTTCAGAATCAACATGCTAACATGTAGCATCCATAGGCTACTTCTGTAAACAGCAGCTGAATGTGACTTCACATCTTTTCTGAGCAGCCAGGTCACAACAGCCCTTTCCTGAGTCTGATAGCGTAGGGAAAGCGGGCTGGAAGAAGTGAGAGAGGAAAAGAGAGCTTGTTTTTTTTTTTCTAAACAATACAGTAAACACTGTGTCCATGCTCATCATGTTAGTATTCCATTAGCATTAATGCTGAAGCTGATAGATTCATTCAAAATGTGTCATATGGAACTAGAGCTGAAGAACAGGCAAGTTTCAATTTCTATCCCTTCACAMTGGTTTTACTTCAGAACACAGCTGCCTTACATGTTTGGTTCCCCTCTCTATTCATCTGCCTTATGATGTATTCACACATCAAACACATTTTGCGTGTCAAAAATGCATCCAAACCTTCAAGTTGGACACTTGTGCACTGTGAGGTCAGACACTTAAATTGCTCTATATGTGGATCAAGAGGAGTTTATTGGTTGTTTTCCTCTGACAGTCCCTGTACAATGCTGGATGAAATTGAGAGAGTGGTTTGGCTTAATTTACTGAGAGCAAGAACACGTTGTCGTCTTGCACCTTGGTGCCATGTTCGGATTCACTGGATTATTCAGAGGAGTTCCGAGTTTGGTGAATTTCACCACTCCAGGAGCTGCACACTGACACAGGTCGCTTTCAGCTGTATTTTAGTCCCGAGCCCAGTTTGACGAGCTGCTGACCCACATCGGTGCCCACATCTCCTGCCAGGACACCAACTATAGGCGCTCAATTTCAGCTGATGAGGGCCTATTCATCAGTCTCAGGTTAGTGGGGAATATTTGGGAGACCCATCGGAAAATGTGCCACTATGTCACATAGCTGAGTCTCTCTTCAGAGTTCAAATTTTCCAACTCCAGCTTCTGGTGCTGTGAACGCAGTGTACACACATCAAAGGCTCAAAAGCTTTCCAAATGTGCAGTGTCAGATGCGACGCATCACTTCCCGATGCCCATTGACGCGTGTCCACTATAGACTTTACATGTAAAACTGATGCTCAAATCATGTTAGGTCTGAACATACTGTACATTAGACCTCTAGGTGATGGTTTCAGATTTATTAACTAAGCTTCAACACAGATATCAAACCAAACCTAAATCTGTAATGTGACAAATGTAAGTCAACACTACACCAAAACCTCCACAGATCACTGATAAAAGTGTTTATATTTAATTTAGAGGTAAAATTCATGACAGTAGAAACTAAATCACCATGCAAAACGCCAGGAAGTGGAGCTCCAGCTGACAAATAGGAAAGCAGATGTGGGAGAGGGAAAAGTCAGTTAAAATTCCAGCCTGTGAAATTGTGTTTCTGCTAGTACTAACTGTGTGCTCAAGATTAAAGCAAAGATGTGTGTCTTACGTGATGACATCACCATGTTATATGGGTGAAACTGTGTATTTTGTCAAGTAGAAACCCTCTCCCCCTTTCCCTTGAGCTGCTGTACTCCACCACTCTGCCTGTTTTCTGTGAAAAAGCAAAGCAGGAACCATTGTCTTTGTGGGTAAGGAGGAAAAAATGAAAGTACAAACTCAACTGCCTGCAACCCAGCTCCTGTAGTTCATTGTATTGAGCCGCTCAGAAGAGTCTGATCCTTAGTGAACGTTACATCCCTAACATTCCGAACAATTCCTTTGAGTTTGGTGTAGTCTACTATTATTTTGTCACAAATAAAACAAAATAAGATTCCGCATCTTTAACGTTATGATTCTGCCCATTTCGAAGCAGCTCCCTCAACCCAAACGCATTCTGGGCCAGAGTAGAGTAAAGCYGGGTCGTCTGGGTGGGCCGAGGCAGGCTTTACAATGCAAAAACACCTAGATGGAGTCTGGTATCTCCCCAGATCAGGGATGATGTAGCAGAGACAGCTTGATTAAGCATTGCTCACAGTCCAGCTTAATCAAGAATGTGCTGCATGTGAAAGGAATTCTTACCGAAAATATCAAGAATGTTGTGATGCCTATAGTAAGATTTTCAGCATCAGAGAAAAAAAAAGAAAAGTTAGTATGAATTACAGTAAGTCTGTTATTAATTAATATAGTTAATGAAAATGCTATTAGTTCTAATGAGTGGAACTGTGTCCACCAATGTTCATCTCCTTTTGGAGCTGTTGGTATGAAGATATGTCCTACCTTTTACCATCCTGATGATATAAACTGTCAGTGCTGCCTGAGTTGTATAATTATGTTAGTTTATATAAAATAAAATATTTTAAACTGATTTTGTTTACTGCAAACCTTGTGGACACGATAGCATTGATTTTAAATAATTGTATGTCTATTCTCTATGATCTGCAAGCCTGTGCTGTAAAAATAGTCAAAACAACGATTGATACTGGGAATAAAAAACAACTCTAGATTGTGGTGTCACAAAATGTTTTCCCTGTCAAGAACTTACTGTTATGTTCTCGTTCCACCTCTACATTTCCCAAGACCATTGCAGGGACTCCAAAGACCGAAGCCAGTACCCACACACAGATGTTCACCACCTGAAGAAAAAAGACAACACAGGCAGGGAACCTTTGGTTTAAATACTGTATATTACATTACTGAATCAAAAATAAACTTTTACACTGAACATGTACCTTTTTAAAAACCCTAATGTCAGACTGACATGATGTTGTCCAGAGGTGGAAACTAGTGAATTACTGTACATTTACTCACTTTACTGTAATAGCCTATATGCCATGGACTTCCGTTCTAGCACTTCCGGATTTTTTGGCCACGGACAGCACTTTTGGTTTGCATGCAACACCATGTTAGCGTAGGCTTTTTTCACTCGGTGGCTGCTGTCCACAGGATTTGCATTTTACATATACCAATATTAACACAGGAGATGTACAAGTTGACAAAAGTCCAGCCAAGTGGGAAAAATACTCTAAAGGGGATTAAATCCATAAAAAAACAAAGGTAATATGTCCAGAATTTAGCCTTTTGCATTATTACTTGGCTGCTTGTACTGTAGAGTTTTCATGTAGAGCTGTGACACTTATATTGTTGGAAAGAGCAAAGTCTGGATTTTAAATTGATGGGCTACTTGTATGGTTTGGATCATGTTGCCCCGACGTTGGTGTACTAAAAACAGGGAATGATTTTCAGGCGGAGGTTCTGCTGCTCTCGGTACAGGAGGGGAGGGGCGCTTGGGTTGTGTCTATTGTAATATACACTCTAATAAGTTTTTGCTTTTGTATAAAACTCATGAAAAAGTTGCCTAAAATAATTTCATTCTCTGTATAACACAAATGCGTGTGCGCGCACGCACGCACGCACACACACACACACACACACACACACACACACACACACACACACACACAC